TTGGTGAAAATTGCATGATTTTACAATTGGGAATGGTTTGTATAAGAGAGAATATCATCACGTCTTTATTAGGCAACCTCAAAATGCACTCATAGGTGATCTACACAGACCTAGACCTAGACATTTTTCTTTGTTTGTCATTGGATTCGGATTAAAAGAAACAACTTCTTGTTTTCAGGCATCAAGTTTTCCATACTGTACGACATTCATAAGTCTTAATACAAAAATGTGTTTACTGAATTGAAATAATGAAAATGAAGTAGTTCATGTCCCTTAGACAAAGGTGCAGCACAAAAACTGATTACCGAACGCTCAGTGGCTGGATCATGCGAAATAATACAAAATCTTTACTTTCTTTATATTTAGATATCCACACTTCCAGTAATCACACTTGCAGAAGTATATTCTTCAATGACTGGCAGATTAAGTTAAACTGGCAGATTAAGTTTACCATCATACCCCAAGTTATTAAGCAGGCACGGCTAGTCTGTGGCTGAGGTCCTTACTCTGTCTCCATTGGCTATCCAGCCACTCACAATTACAATGCTATTTTAGACTCCTCAGGCAATCCATTCGCTTGGCTTGAAGGTTGATGAGGAAGGAGAAAGAAATGGTTCGTCCGTCGTGACGGTATAATAATAGCTGACGATTGCCTCGTGTGCGTGTGTATGTGTGTGTGATGTTGCTATTGTGTATTTGGTGTGGAGGGGGGTTGGCATGTCCTTTGATGCCTGAAGTTTACGTTTAATTTAAATATGATGTAAATGGGTTAGTGTTTACAAAGACTGAGAGTGTAAAATCGTCTACGTTGTATACACCGTAGTTATAAATACTTTATTTATTTATTGCAAAAATATTTTACTATCATGGTAGGTTTTTTTGTGTTAAATAAACGGAACGATAAAGATTATCCATTTTATTCACGCGATGTACTCATAAAACAATTATCGGAGTAGGAACTTTATTTAATTATCAGGTTTTGCTGTTCCTTTAGTGAGTACAGATCGTTAAACCTAATTATGACATTTTAAAATTATCAAACCTTATCAAAACTGTATTTAGCTGCACATTCTAACAACAGCTTGATTTAGCTACATTTTTATTCTAAAACTAACTACGAATTCATCAAAGAAATTTAACGTCTACTACATTACAATATTTCTCATAGCAAAGCTAGTCCACAAGGTGCATAGATGTACATTTCTATCGTTGGATTATAATTCATTTTCTTCTAAATGTCAATTCATCATTGTAGTTGATGTTTTCTTTGTGTTTCCAACTCGACGCTACATGTTTAACTATCTTGGGAATGGGAAACTGTTTATGGTCCATCATAAACAAAAAGCATCATAACCATCAACGTAACTGTACGTGAAAAACTATTCCACACCACACACAGCGCTGCGTACGGCGGTTGGCGGAACTACGTCGATAAATCATCTGGTTTATTACACTTTTCATAATTAATACGAGCTCATACAATTCCTGACGTGTTTTATTGCAAACTGCATGTTTAGTTGAAGATAGCTTCGCTCGTAACACGAGATAAATACTTTTGACAACTTCTTTACATGTGAATTTATATAAAACCAGTTTGTAATCAGAGATACGTCGCCAGCACCGAGGATTATATACTTGCCGAGGTTTACGACGAGTTTATACAATCGTCAAAGATATGTTTTTTTTTTTATGAGACATTAGTTAAGGGTGAGCTTGTTGAAGGATGTTTTTTACCTTGTTTTACCACTGTAAAATTACTTTTGGTTGAAAATTGTATTTACCTACGACCGTTTTTTAAAGTAGTCGTTTCAGTCCATCTCTTAGAATTGAAAAGCTTCACATATCAGCATTGTTTACTTTCATAACAGCTCATAACATCACGGGTAACGGACCAATGAGGTTCAAGGATTGAGAGAGAAGAAGTAAAATTTGTATGATTCGAACTTCCACTAATCAGCTGTTCACGCAAATTTAATTGTTGAGTGGGACAATTAGTTGGTACAATGTTTCGTTGCATCACTGTGAGTGGCAATGAGAGGTTATAAACGAAAAACATAACCTCTCTTAGAAGTTATGAGTAGTGTTTTTTTGTAATTAAAACACTGTCGTATGTAAAGTAGTGTTAACAACAATCGTAGAAGTTTTAAAGACACTTTTAAGTTGTAATTTTTAGCAACGTCACATAAGTGCGTTTTTTCTACTGAATGCAAGACGAGTGTATAATAAAGGCAATGGAGTGATAAAATCTATGAAGCTTTGTTACTGATTAAGATTAGTTTCTTTGAAGCCAAGATAATTTATTATTAGCCCATTTCAGAATGTTCCTATGATCGAACCCGTGACGATTTGGTTTTCAGACGAGGACTATAACCATTCGTTATGTAAATTCCAAATAATAATTCTACTGTTCAGTGTTTTTGGGGCATTGTAACAAAACAGGTTGATCAAAAACTGGTTTACAAGGTTAGTCTGTCGCCGCTGGGCATGGCCACGTGATGGTCGATTTGTCTTCAGCTGCCCACCTTCACGTTTGCTTTTCAATGAGGTTAGGTCCGAGTGTGGGGGTTTAAAGGGTTCTTGTGGTGGTAGCGTATACAGACGCCAATAAAACATGTCTTTTGTAAACAGCTGATTATTCTGCATTGTTAAAATTTATTTTTTCGTATTCCTACCTTATGGGATTTTGTAGTAAGATTATTTAAAAGTAAAAGTCAATAGGCTGCATTATGTATTAGCAATATATGAGTCAGACTCTATTTGAAAATGGTCTTTAATGTTTTCGCGGTTTAAACTTGGAATTAAAAGTATTGATGTATTTATATGTATGCTATATTATTGCATTTTATTTTTGGCACTATCCTAAATGAGGATGTTAGGTTCAATAGTATTTATGCATCATTCAAATCTCATGTAAAGTTACACTTTACGGATCACTTCACCAACCTTTTGTAAAAATTAAGCTATAAACAATAACTACTTTGATGTATCTTTAATCTGTAAAGGAAATTAAATTACATTTAAGTTTTGTTTTGACGAATTACTGGTTGAGTGAATTTAAGCTTAAAATACAAATCAAATGTAAGTTACAGATTTGTGTACTATAATAAACCTAATGATAAAATTGATGAAAGAAGCACGTTCAATTAATGTAAACCTGGTCAATGCAAGATGGCGGCTAAACATGCCTCTACGGTACAAGCTCTCAACACTCCTTAAAACTAATTTGTTTCCAACCATTGTGTGCTTTTTGTGCTATTAACATATCAGATCTCACAATGGATGGTGATAAATTGATGTTTAACTATTATTTAGAAGCTAAAATCACATTTAAAAAGATTAATTTGCGGATTTTCGAAATGATTTTGTAAATACTAAAAAAAAAAAAAAAAAACAATTACGAAGTTTCAGTTCATCCAGTGAATCGTTTGGATCTTTGTGAATATTTTACAGTTTATTTCAACTCGATAAACACTTTAATAATGCCTCAGGGTTCTTTTTTGTATGGCCATGTTTACTTGGTAACCAGACGGTGGGTGGAACCCTCTTAAAACAGAGTACTAATATTGATAAATTTATCAATGATAAAGCCGTTAAGAAAACGACCTCTACAAATTAAATCGTATTTTATATTTTATTGTAAATAACCCAAGTTGTGTGTTTCAAATTGAAAATATAATTAGTTTGGTATAAAATAAATCCACTCAAAGATTACGACACGTTTTCCATTCCCTCAAACCCTGCATCATGACACTCATAGCCTGCAGTTCCCATAACACATTTCACTGTTATTAGTGAAAGTCAATCTAAGTATAGATTGCAAAACGAAACAGAATTTATTGGAAGCTGCAAATGGTGTCACTATATATAAGCAAATGAGGCTACTAAAGAGGGGCCATAAAAGTCCAACGTAAGTTGATAGCATGTCCTCGTTCTGTAATTTAAAACTGAATATTGTAAAGTATGTGTGTAAATTCGACCTCGCACTTATTACTAAAGGGAAAATAGTTCAATTTCAACGTATTATTCAAACAAAGTGCACAGAAATGGGGAGTTTAAAATCAAATTCTCAAAAATCGTGGGACTTTTTAGTAGTATGCTTCATCACTAGGACTTAAAGTAAAGATTTAATTGAGTAACGGTTGAAAAAGTACTGTGATGATATTTATTTTTCGTCCTATTTCTAAGTATTTAATAGAAAGTTTTTGTGTAATTTTTTTTATAAAGTCAATTGCAATACAACAAAATCAGAACCCGAACCAACACATGAGCAAATTAATCTGAATTGATTAATTTAATTAGATTTCAAGGGGAAATGGAGCTAGTGCCGTTCTAATCTTTGCCGTGGGGGTCATAAAGTGTCTAAACCGTCAGGTAGGCCTGAGTGCCATTTGACTTTCCAAAGCAAGAGTGATTCAGGGGAGGGTATTAGTGGAAGAGGGTGTATTGGGCAGGATGTAATGGAGACCGGTTACAGTTTCTTAACTGGGCTACCCTTATATCGATTGAAAATATCGATTCGATTAGTAAACCTTCATTCAGTTTGATCATAATCACCAAGTTTGGTTGGGTTAGGTTATGTTATAATAGTTTCATTTAATCCCTCAAACAATTTTTGCTCAAACTGCCCCCCCCCCTGGTCGATCTTTCCACCACCATACCCGCCGCACTGTGGAACCGGTCACTGATACAAATTGACCCTAGTCAAAGATTTAGGCAATTGGCACTCGGCCCTGCACTCGATTTTAAGAATTGATCAAAAATCGTCGGGACCGATTATCTATAGTCCGTTCTATATATCATCGACAAAATCTAGTTCATAATCAGAATCATTATCTTTTTACCATCTTTTTAATGTTTTGTATTTTTTTATTCTCCTCTTTCTTTCCCATTCCTTTTGTTCTTGTCCCATCCCCCGCCGTTTCCGATGCACTTTTCTAGATTCATTCATACTCTTTAGTTAAATTTCTCGGTGATTTATAAACTGATATTTTTCGTTATAGGTACACTTGTACTTCTCATCTCTTCCTGAGGACAAGGTACCGTACGTCAACTCAGCAGGAGAGAGACACAGAGTTCGACAGTTGCTGCATCAGTTGCCTCCGCATGACAACGAGGTCCGATACTGCCACAGTCTGTCTGATGAAGAGCGGAAGGAGTTGAGGCTCTTCTCTGCACAGAGGAAGAGAGAAGCGCTTGGAAGAGGAGCTGTCAGACAACTCGTCGCTCCAATGCCTTGTGAAGGGGTATGTCATCAACTAATCATACTTTAAAACTCTTTACGAACTTTGAAGTAAGTCATCTGCACCATGTTCTTATAAAAGTAAATGTTAAGTTTTATTTGCAGAGTAAAAATTTTCCTCACGCCTGAAATCAATAAACCAACCCTCCTTTCCCCGCGTAACAAACGGATTAAATGATATATCAAAGAAAGCAATATTAGTTGAGTGAAGAAATTGTGAGGCCATGTGTGAACTCCCCTCGCCTCTGAGAGATGGCGTCGTTAATATCTTCGGCAACAAATCCTCCGAGAAAGTTTATCAGCTACATTTATTAAAGGGATCACGAGTTCAAGTCGCGACTGTTGGGGCCTGCAACATCTCATTTCTACACCTGTGTTACATGTCACATTAGTTGTTAGTTCCATTTTGTTACATTACGATATCTACAGAGGTTTCAAGTTACAAATCAAGCTAAGCTTGTGCATCTAGTTATAATATAAGCTTTTACAAACGTAAATACTGTACTTCCTAAAAGTAAAAGAAATTTTCAATGATATATTTTCAGTTCACAATTATCTCGTCAAAATAATAGCATATTTAATTGACTAAATATTACATATTCTCTCTTCATTGAATGCACGACGTCACATACATACCATAACTGGTACTGACAAACTGTTTTAGACTTTAATTCAGTGACTAATATTTCTGAAAAATCTTCATGTAAAATGGTCTTGCGGAATCGCTGATATGAGTTTTAATTTTCTTGTTTAACTTCATTTCTCACGGCTTGTTCCATGTTACATCACATTAACAATTTGATAAATTTATTTCTAAATATACCGCAAATAAGATATTTTACATTGTACTTAATAATAGTTAACAAAAACACATACATCCCAAGATAATTTACGCCCATGATTTTGTGTGATGAAAAGCTATTACCACATTGCTTGAATATACAATTTAACCATCGATTCAATAAGTCAAAGAAAATTATAATACAAGTTTAACGAAGTCTTTGCTCTAATTTTTTTCAATTATTCACCTAATACATTCGCAACTGTCTGAATTCCATTTCTAGCCTAAGTTTAACAGACTAATCCGAGTCTGCTACTAGGTTTCAATCTACTCTTACACAACGAAGGCCACATTACGGCGTCCCCGACTTAACCTGTTTATATTCAAAGGCTCGGCGCGCCTCCATATATCAGTTTTACGACAATTGCGTCACTCGGCGCGGGGCGCATATGGTTGTAATGGAGAATGGAGGTGAGATTCTGATTTAACGCTGCTCCATATAAACGCTTTGAAGTAGATCACTCTAATATCACTCTCTTTAATACACTCTCGAGGGTGTGGCGTTTTTGGTGGTTATAAAGAAGAGAAAGTATGAAATGTTGGAGTGTTTATGGTTGAACCGAATTTGGTGTTATAGGCTAAGTAAAATAGGATTGTTGAGTTGTGGAGTTGACTTTTCCATTATAATTTGATTTTATAAATGAGTTCTGGTAACTATTTGTAATGAACAAGTAACTATAGTAAAGAATCAAGAATTTGATTTGACCGTGGCATCCAGCCTTGGCAAACCTGCGGACCAAGCGAAAATTGATTTGCCTCATTTAATTTTCACTTAACTATTTCCTCAAACATGTAAGATAATTTATTCTTTGTCTGCAAGGAGCTGCTGGTAGATCTCATCACTATGTACTGCTTGTGTTACAGTGTGATGAGAGACTATCTACAGGAGACATGTCAGTGTTTGCCTCTCGTGCTGGACCCAACTGTTGCTGGCACCCTGGCTGCTTTGTCTGTAGTGTTTGCTAGGAGTTGCTGGTAGATCTCATCACTATGTACTGCTTGTGTTACAGTGTGATGAGAGACTATCTACAGGAGACATGTCAGTGTTTGCCTCTCGTGCTGGACCTAACTGTTGCTGGCACCCTGGCTGCTTTGTCTGTAGTGTCTGCAAGGAGTTGCTGGTAGATCTCATCACTATGTACTGCTTGTGTTACAGTGTGATGAGAGACTATCTACAGGAGACATGTCAGTGTTTGCCTCCCGTGCTGGGCCCAACTGTTACTGGCACCCTGGCTGCTTTGTCTGTAGTGTCTGCAAGGAGTTGCTGGTAGATCTCATCACTATGTACTGCTTGTGTTACAGTGTGATGAGAGACTATCTACAGGAGACATGTCAGTGTTTGCCTCCCGTGCTGGGCCCAACTGTTGCTGGCACCCTGGCTGCTTTGTCTGTAGTGTCTGCAAGGAGTTGCTGGTGGATCTCATCACTATGTACTGCTTGTGTTACAGTGTGATGAGAGACTATCTACAGGAGACATGTCAGTGTTTGCCTCCCGTGCTGGGCCCAACTGTTACTGGCACCCTGGCTGCTTTGTCTGTAGTGTCTGCAAGGAGTTGCTGGTAGATCTCATCACTATGTACTGCTTGTGTTACAGTGTGATGAGAGACTATCTACAGGAGACATGTCAGTGTTTGCCTCTCGTGCTGGACCCAACTGTTGCTGGCACCCTGGCTGCTTTGTCTGTAGTGTCTGCAAGGAGCTGCTGGTGGATCTCATCACTATGTACTGCTTGTGTTACAGTGTGATGAGAGACTATCTACAGGAGACATGTCAGTGTTTGCCTCTCGTGCTGGACCCAACTGTTGCTGGCACCCTGGCTGCTTTGTCTGTAGTGTCTGCAAGGTGTTGCTGGTATATCTCATCACTATGTACTGCTTGTGTTACAGTGTGATGAGAGACTATCTACAGGAGACATGTCAGTGTTTGCCTCTCGTGCTGGACCCAACTGTTGCTGGCACCCTGGCTGCTTTGTCTGTAGTGTCTACAAGGAGTTGCTGGTAGATCTCATCACTATGTACTGCTTGTGTTACAGTGTGATGAGAGACTATCTACAGGAGACATGTCAGTGTTTGCCTCTCGTGCTGGACCCAACTGTTGCTGGCACCCTGGCTGCTTTGTCTGTAGTGTCTGCAAGGAGTTGCTGGTAGATCTCATCTACTTCTACAAAGAAGGCAAGCTGTACTGTGGTCGTCATCACGCTGAAACGCTTAAACCTCGTTGTTCTGCCTGTGATGAGGTAATTTAGATGTTGTTAGTTTAGATAGTAAACAAATATCAAGGAATGATAAGACAACTCAAGTCAGTTGAGTGGAAAAAATGACTTTGGTTGAGCAGTTTAGATTCATATTTAATCGCTACTCTCACTCAAGAACAATTTAGTATTTTCTAAACTAAATTACAGCACAGAGAAGTACTTCTCTGTGATTACAGTTTATTTATTTTATGAAGCACATTTTTCTTTAATTTTTTTCTTTCCCTTGTTTATTCTCTGTTATCATCTCACACAGCCCACTCCCACCCCCACACCTAACCTTGTTTGTAAAGTACTCACTCGTTTTCTTAAACATTTTCCTCTGAATTTTTACCTAAGGGTGAATTAGGTACAGTAGGTACTTTTAATCCATCCACTAAAAGAAAAGTGTGCAGTTTCTCTCTTACCAAATATTTAATGTGATAGGTTCATTCTTTCCCAACTGAAACGTCGCCTACTTTTGTTCTAAAAATGTCCTAGTATCTGGAAAACATGATAATTGTGGCATCATATCGTATCAGTGCTATTATAAATCAGTTTGACAATCTCTTTGATTTAGGCTACTAAATTTTAGGCTAGAAAATTACCTGAATTTATCAAAGTTAATACATTCACTGTAAAAGGTTGACGTTGTCATGTGTTAAACTGGATGAGAGGACAAACATGAATATTACTTTTGCAAGACCATGGAGCCGTAAAGCTTACAATTTTCTTTTAGTATGTACAGTTTCAGATGTCTTAAGTGCTTGCAAGAATTTTAATACCGAATTAATAATAAAGTATCTCTAAAATGTTTAGGTATGATTAAGAATTTTTGGAAACATTGAAGGAAATTTTTAAAATCATTCTCATAATTTAAATTTTTTCAGATAATCCTAGCAGATGAGTGTACGGAAGCGGAGGGCCGAGCATGGCACATGAAGCACTTTGCCTGTCTGGAGTGTGACTTACAGCTGGGAGGTCAGAGATACATCATGAGGGACGGCAGACCTTACTGTCTTGCCTGCTTTGACGCCATGTTTGCTGAGTATTGTGACTCTTGTGGAGAACCAATTGGTGTTGACCACGGTAAGACCATAGTATCTTAATGTTTGGAGGGGTTGGATTAGAGGGATGTTTGTTTATGGAAATAAGTTGACACAATCATTGATAGTAACCAAACCCATCTTAGAAGAATGTAAATAAGATGGACTGATTTTATGAAGCTTGCCAAATTATAAAATACTATTTTGTATGAATTTTCTTTAAAAAGGCCATGTTAATACTGGGCAATAGCTAAAATTTCCAAAATGTGTTTTTTATTCATTTCTTTAGAAAATAAATGTTGTTATCCGTCCATTGCGTTAGCTAATCTTACCAAAAGGTTTATTGCTACGTATTGTACATTTTTTGATGGAATTTGGCTTCAATTCATATGGGGGAAAATTGTCTAATAGAAATCAACTAGACAAAAGAAGTGTTACGTTTGCATGGCTGCTTGGTATTATTTGAATATTTTCTACCCCTTTCTGCACTGGACATATTTCATTTGTACACAGATAGACTATTAAACTACCATCATAGTTATGCAGTTAAAAACATTTTGTACAATCTTTCATATTTGTCTCCAGGTCAAATGTCACATGACGGCCAGCACTGGCACGCCACAGAGAAGTGTTTCTGTTGTCACACCTGCAGGTCGTCTCTGCTGGGGCGACCGTTCCTGCCTAGGAGAGGAGCGATCTACTGCAGCATAGCCTGTAGCAAGGGAGAGCCACCCACACCCTCGGACAGCTCTGGTCCAGCCACTCGTCTAGGGAGGCAGCGACCCAGGCCGGCGTCTGAGGCGTCAAGTACACCACCAGCGTCCCCTAGTCACCACAGACGTGCCTTGCCACCACCACAGGACAATGCCAACAGTCCCGGAGCAATGTGAGTTGAAAATTACAGATTGTTTTAAGGATTTTTGCGAGGATATTAGGTTACCTGAATGGGAAAGAGTCCATAGGCACAAGAAACCAACTTAACATAATACACAAATGTTTTATTTCCTTCCTTTGTTCAAACTGCTGTCAGGGATAGTGAAATATTATAATATTTTTGTGTAAAAAAGGGTTGTGTTGCTTTTTCCTGACTGCACTTGTTTTTATATAGACTAGAACTGATTTCCTCCTTACCTATAAAATATTTTAATTTCAAGCGCTTGAGATCTAAGTTAATCCTTAATCTCAAATTATAGAGTCAATATTTTATTAGATTGTGGAGGATAGATCACTTGGCTTAGGAATGCATTGTTGAAGAAAGAATGGACCTTTAACTAAGAAAAGACTTCCACGCGGTTGAAAGCTCACTAAAACGTTCCCAACTCAATTAATTTGATATTCTGTAAATTTTTTATTGTAAACCAGTTTAAAGAAAACGAATAATTATTTTAACATTAATATAAAATCAATTTTTGCTATTTTGAAGGGTGTCCTTCTATCATCTGTCTTGGGTATGTTAGATTTTACTGTACCTAATATTAAAGAGGGAACCAAACATAAAAAATGGAAGGGTGAGAGAAGGATTGTATCCTGTAAAGTAATAATATCTGAAGTTGTTGGTTGCTTAAAGAGTATGTTACCAGTGTGTTATCGACTATGACCTGTAATGTTTGGTAACCTATGAGTATAAAACCCTAAAAACTAATATTTAAGAAAAACGATTGAATTTAATCATTTGCTATAAATTGGTTGAAAATTACACAATGTTATAAACACAATCAATTCCTGTAGTTTAGCTTTGCATTTAAAAAAGATATTTGACAGACAATTAGAATTTTTGATATAGCTTACTAAATTAAACTATTAATAATTTCAACAAGTGCTCTACAATGAAGAATCGTAGGTTAATATTATGGATAAGAAATGTGTGGAAAATATAAAATTTTTAATAAAAATTACTTTTTGCAGAGATACATGTTCACCGGGAAGCAGTCAAGTAGTGAGGAGTCCTCCGGGCAGATCTCCTAAGATGGGCCGCAGAGCGTTACAGAGGTCTCCCAACAAAAGTATCAACACGACCCCTCCAGAGTACAACTCTGTGAGAGGACCTCCTCCTCTGCCACCTCCCCCCGGTAGTCCTCCCACCCTGACCATCACCACTCCTGGAGGGAAAGGGCTGGACAGGGTCCTTCTGGAGAGAAACCTGGAGAAACTCCTATCTGAGAGAGGCTCCAACCATTCGTCCAGCTCTGAACACCTTCCTGCTGAAGGAGACTTGAGCAGAATCCTCGGCCTGTCCGACCGATCGAGTAGATTCTTCCTCGAGTCTCACTTAGAAAAACTCTCAATCAAAGACGAACTTGGAAGCCCAACAGATTTCAATCTCACCAAGCTGGTTCTAAGTGGAAACGATGATTTAAAGCCTGAAGTGAAAAAACTATTTTTAGACATCGAGAGTCACGATGTAGAACCTAGAAGGTTGAAACCAATTTTAACCGACTCCTTGGAAAAAGACAACAAAATATTAAATTTAGATGAAAAAGATTTGTTAGATGGGAATCTTTCGGATCCGTTAAGGAACGAACCTAGTACCAGCACGGATAGGAGGTTTAGGGTGAACGATTCTCCTCATGATAGCGGACATGCGTCTTCTATGCCTGAACTTGCGGTTCATCCAACGACACCAACGTCGCCGCAGAGGAAGGTTCGGTTTGAAGGAGCTCCTCCTGAACTTGACAAGAGGATGGTGAGGAGTCGTAGTTACTCGGAGAGACATGATCACGACGACACTGAGAGTTACTGTTCGACGTGTTCCTCCAGTTCTAGCAGCGACGATCTCTCAGCCTACCAGTTGCCGCCCCGCAGAGCCTACGGGGGCGTCAGGATATCCTATGTGCCAAACGACGCCTTCGCCATTGCTCGTCAGCGGCAACAGCACATCAAGTCTCCGGTGAAGAAACCTGTTGACGACAAAAACTGTGTGATATCCTGATTGATATTAGTTCTAGTGAAACCTCGCATTAGGACCAATCCTCAGTGGTTGTTGACAGATGGTTTTGTAAAAGTTCCTGATTGTTGAATTTGAAGAGGTTTTACTTTGATACTGTTAAGTTGTTGTCTGTGTTTAAATTTGTTCAGTTTGTATTTTGAAATAATAAGCAATGAGTAAGATGTCACAAAACTTATGGATAGGGAAGTAAAGAAAACCAAACAGCGACACTCCCGCGATGTCAATAAAAGTAAACTCACTAAATTTGAAGATTTGATTACATTTAAGAAGTAAATTCCTAATGGTATAAAAATAAGTTTTAAAAACCCTACTCAACATCTTCAAACATCTGTATATAAGTTGTATTAACATTTCCGAGCCATCAGCTACGTGTTTTTGCTTTAAATATTCTTTGAAGGAAAGATTTCCTTATGTATTTTAGAGAATGGAGAAGTCATATTACATTAACCTCTTCATCTTACAATAAAAAATCTCCAATTCAATTAAATACTTTAAACATATATATTGACAAAATATCAAGGAAATTCATATTTACATTAAACTTGAAAACCTTTCTGTTACAGAAATTTAAATTATTTTTAAGATTATCTGTTTCCAATTCAAATGAAGAAGTATATGATTATGTAATAAGTTATATTGATGATTTTTACTGTTGGCTATGAGTTAAAATAGTGTTATAAGCTAAATATGACTTTGAGAGACTGTAAACAAACAAAAAATGCTTATGCAACTAAATCAGGGTATTTTAATACATGTAGAATCTATTTTTTTCAATTGTATTTAATGGTTTTTCAAGCATTGTCTTTGAGAACTGAAGTAAACATTTCATTTATGGGATGCTACCGGTAGAAAATTTATTTTTCAAGGAGAATTTAGTTGAATGGCGCATATAGAGTGAACCACTATTGAACATAGTATTTTTTTGTTATTAAAAAATTCTGCAATATCAATATTGTATGTCTATTTAAATATAGTGTGCCTATAGTCAAGGGTCAAAAAATTACCTATTCCCATCAATAAAATATTATTTTCTAAAAATTTTCTTGTGACAGAGAGTAAAGATTGTAACTTCATGGAAAAAGTGTTTTTTATTCTGTCTTTTTTTATACAATCCAGATAAATCACCTTACTGTTTTCTTGTAAGAATAGTACAACAGATCAACTTCATTGAAATGAATATTTTATTTAAGAATTTGATAATTACTAAGTTGTACTGAGTTACCTAAGACATTTTGAATTTGGTGTAACAAAGTTCTATATAGTAGTTAATGTATATTTTTAATAATCTTGTAAAATAGCTTTTTTAGTGTTAAAATTTGTAAAAATAAACTCATTATTTATTGCTGATGTTCCCCTTTCTTTAGTCACCTACTATGTTTGTATTTACAAAAACAATATTAAATTTTATTGTTTGAACCAGAAACAATTAATAAGAAAGAAGACTTTTTTAAATAGATTAAAATGTAAATAAATAATTAATCTCAAATAAATAGCATTTCCTGCTAGTTGTAAAACATGCAGCATGATTTTGAGTCAGGCAGGAGAATGTATAATAATGAATAATGTTTTATTTTGACTAGCAGACTATTTGGTTTTACACTGCATTTTAGGATTACATGAGGATGGATACCTTTTAGTGTCTTACTTTATACTGTCTTTATGTGGAACAGTAGTACTGTAGCTGTAGTAGTTTTGGACCCATAAAATGCTATGTTCCCATTGTAAGTTAGGCCACGTCATATGCCATTAGAATTTCTAAGTATGTTTTTTTTCTATTTAAAAATATAACATAACAATTTGAAAGCAACAAGATTTTCAAACGATCAACAAGTATACAGCTGATGGATCAGATTAGTTAAGATCAAATGAAAAATTATAAGATGCATAATCAATACTATTATATAAAAATCTAATGGTGTCTGTCTGTAAGTGTATTACTATTGAACGTAAAAACTACTGAACTGACTGGGCTTAAATTTTACTAAAGTGTAGCTACCATACCAAGGATGGCCATTCACACTTCGATACTGACCTTAGGCATTAAAAATTCTGAGGTGAGGATTTTTATTGATTGGTGTCCATGGCTGCAATGAAAACAATCACAATGTTTACATTTGCTTTGACATTTCAATGTAAACAAGAAGAACTGTCAAATTGCTTATTTCACAATTTCAGACAGCTGATCCAAATAAATTAAGTGTAATATTTTACACAACTATATTATGGTAGGCTTATAACTTTATCATAGAATATTTATTCTAAAACTATATCAATGATTATAGAATTTAAAAAATCTATAATTGTAACCCAGGCTCTGCTTTACATTTATTAAAAGTGTCTAAGTTATGAAAATAATGTTATTGATATATTTTCTATGAAAATTACAGTGTATAGATGTTTTGCATTAATTTGGAGGATTTTTTATAAATTCGAACTGCTTAACTTGTATTAACTAAAAGTTTCAATTTTTTTTTACTTGAAATAATGTAGCAGCAAAATTAAATTTAAAAATTAAATCTTTTAAATTCCATTTGTCCGTTCAAATGGTCCTCAGGCCTGTGCAGGAACATGTCAAGTAAAAAAATACACAAAGAGAAAAAGCACAACTCTTAAATTTTCTGGAAGCACTGGAACAATGTTACACCATCGATTTCATAGTCCAACATCATCTTCACTAAGCCACAATTATCAAAAAAAGTATTGACTTAAAAGTATCAGAAAATATTAAGAAATGGGGAAGAAGATCTGTGTTTTTGAATAGTATAGTGGTGGATCAACCCCCTATTTGGTACCAGAATATTACAATAAAAACGGTAAAAATATGTATAAACCTTAAAAAAATAAACTACGACTAAAAGAAATTTTTTTTTTATTTTTTTAAGGATTCCTTATACAAAGAAGAACGACTTAGCTAATTCTATGCTATGTTTTTAGCTAGAAATATTCACCGGTTGCAGATAACAGAGCAATAATAAATAAATTTTCGTGATAGATTTTATTAAAATGTATTTCATATGATTAAAATATTCTACTACAAGATATGGATAAGAGTAAAATCTTTGACAAGACATTTCCATTATACTTAAGGGCAATCAGGTCAAATGGAGGGTCTTATAAAAAGGTCTAGGGGTGATTTAATGGGCCATTTTATTCCTACTATATCGCTTTCCTCCTCCCATAGAGGCAAGACCCTCTTAAACTCTTGTCATGCTAAGTAACTAGCTCAATATTTCGTGGCAACGTTTCCAAAAAGATGTATAAAACACTACTTCTCAAGCTTTTACACCATTTTATATTGACTCAAAAAAACAAAATTTTTACATGAAACCCCCCAACTCAAATCAACCCAACTTAAAAACTCTTGTTAGTAGATTAGACGTTTAAACATTCTGACATGTGCGTTATATAATTTTGATTGTTCATATTGACCAGCTTGTATACTACTGAACGATGAAGGTTAATCATAAAACATTAAGTATACATAGTAAAACCTAACACTATTTACTAGAAAAATAAGTATATTAAACGACAAAACTGTTTTCGTTGGTTGACGATTACCTATATATAAAGCCAAAAGTACCCATGAACTTTTGAGAAAACTACAAGTCACACCCCCATAAACCATATACTTAAAATGTTCGTCATGACGAGAAACCTTGCGCAAAATTATCCATTATTTCATAAGTTGCCCTATAAGTTCGTAATTGCTTTCCAAAGGGAACTTTCCATTTACCTCAGCTGTTATTATTTGTTTGTATTCTGCTTTGTTTATTTCATCTTAACTTAACCAATCAATAGTTTTATAATACTAATGTAGTAAAATGGGGTGGAGCCCGTGGGTAACAGCTAGTAATTGATAATTATAATTTGGTACATTAATTTTCCATTGCACTATTTACGCCACCACAAATTCAAACGATGAAAATGATAAACGTGTTTGAAGGTGAATTGTTTACTGTCTAACTAATCACAAAAGGGGAAAGGCCCCTTCTTGAAAGTATTATAAAACACTAGGAATCATACATACAAAATTACACGAGTGAAATTAAGTAATACAAATAGTTAGAGGACATTTCAAAGCCCAACCTAACGATAATTAATGGACAAGCAGCACTTAAACTCCCTAAATTTTAACGACTAAGGGAACTTTAGACACAACTGCCATATACTTAACATCCGTCGTCCCTTAGTCCCAGACCCCATGAATTTAAAGTGAGCTAATTCGGTCAGAATGGTTAGGGGTGAGTCTCATGGGAGGCATATGACGGCTCTCTAAAACACTGAATGATATGACCATACATGTAAAATACAAAAGAGAAAGATTCTGAAGTATCACAAAATAAAATATGCACCCTTTATGGGTCTCATGAAAAATGGTTTCTAATTCATTTAAATAAGGCACGTATTTGTTAGAAACTATTAGTATTGCATGTTTAAAACTTAAAAAAAATCCTATAACAGATTAACTATGAACGAATACATTGAGATAACACTTAAGTAGATGAAAAAAAAACCATCTCACCTAATGGAAATGGTAAACCCTTTTACGTTTAGTCCTCTTACAAGAACGGTTGAAATTCCCTTATTATGGGAATCACTTATTAACTTGATAAACGAAGTGAAGTGATTTTCCTTTTTAAAATCGATCTAATCTATGTTTTTATCTTACTTTTCGATTAAATTTATCTTTTTCCTCTTTCCAAAACAACTTTGTATACATTTACATTTTTTACAAAGTAGTTTAGTTAAGGCAGGACAGATTACAGTAGTCCCGTTCTATAGTTTTAACAATATAAAGTAACTTTGTATGCAACTAACGATGTTCTTTTCTCTTACCATAAATAAAACAAATCTAAGTTCTCTAATTGTTTAAATTATTTTTGGAAAACGTTCCAGTATTTCCCCTCTATTATTTCAGGGGGGAAATAAGTAACTTTTTAATACAAAGTAAATCTGCCTTCTCATATTATGACAGTATGCCTAAATATTGAAGTTTTGTTCATTACTTAAAACAGTGCATCACACTTTTGATCTATTATTTCGCTCTTTTATATTTTTTGTTTTGTGGTATGTATTCGTCCAAATAGATTAAAGTTCCTTCAATTTTAAAACAAAACCTATTAACTTTGAATATTCACATTCTCAATGGATTAGTTAATTTTGAGTCTGGAGTTAATACAATTACCTTTGTATACTGAAGTGACAGTGTTGTGATCTATCAATAGACGAAGGATTGAAAGACCAACAGGTAATTTCTATGACTTATTCAATTAATAGAATAACAAATTTCAATATACATCAAATTATGTATAAAATACATTAAATCATAAAATAAATCTTGTAAACTCAATCTAATCTAGAAAAGTATATATTTAAATAGAATCACAATTATTAAACTACCATAAGGGTAGTGTTTTGGTTCAAAAAACGACGAAGTTCGAATATCATAATTGTTTACAAATAATTAGCCCATTGACCGAATCGAGTTCACTTCTCCTATTAAACTCACTATGTTATATATCCAATTTATATCAATGTTTTTACATTAACATAACTTTTTGGGTTTACATAACGTATCTATTTACCTTATATCACAATGCTGCCGAACATATCAGCCTATT